GGGGGGGGGAAGGAGAGCAGAGATGGACATTTTCCGACTGTAGTGACCCCAACACTGACTGAGGACAAGGTGTGACAAGTCTCGCAAGTTGTGTAACTTTATTTATGTTGCAAGTGCCGTAAAACGCTTACTAAAAACAAAAAAGTAAACTCCTTTAACAATGCAGGTGCAGGAACATCCAGATAGAAATGAGAGCCGGGATTATCCACTTCATTCTCCTATACGATACCAACTGAGCTTATCGTACGATTGGTATTTTCATATCGTCTCTGTCCTTCAACATTGCAGTTTGTCAAAATTTGGAAAAAATGAAAATCAAGCTTGTTGCAGAATTTGATGAGGCGCGCCGATCGGTCCAAGTTTCATTACTTTTCTTAAATTAAGAACTAGTCATGGATTTAGATAACTCAAAACATTTTGTATGAACAGAGTGTTTTTTTCAGAAATTGAACAGTTTTCTGTTTCTCCTGAGAACTTTGAATTTTGACATATGTGAGGCAGCATGGTGAAATTAGGCGCTCATCAAAATATGAAAGTCAAGAAACTAGCATTTTTCCGCAGGTTTAGGAATTTTTAATCGAATTTTTGTTTTTTTGGTTCAACACCTTTCATGCTCATTGAAGGACACATTTTGGAGTGGATTTTACTGAAAAACATTGATTAAAGGCATAAAAGATCAGATGTAAATTTTTAGTTTCCACGGACTCTCAAGCTAAGGAAATAACTCAAATTTGGCCGCCATTTTCTCGCTGATTTTACTTCTGAAACCAGGCGATCCCCACCTCCTTCAATTGCCAATATCTTGACTTGCATTCGAGATAAATGGATATTTAAAAAAAATCACAAGCAAGGCAAATGGACAGCATTTAAGATGATACCAATAACTCGAGATGCACAAAAATTGACGAGCGTCTGATTCCACCGCGTCGTAACGCGTATGACAATCATCAATGGCGTGGATGATACACTACTACGTATATTGTATTTCTTGATGGGTTAATCGCGTCCCTTTTCTTTCAGGCTATCCTCTGTCGTTACAAAGAGAGTGAAGGCAAACACGTGGCCATCCCGCTCACTGCTGACCACAATCCCACAGTTTACGAGGAGCGGATGAGGATTCAAAAAGCTGGAGGCTTTGTCAAGTTAGTTCTTTCTTTGACCGTATCGTCAGCCAGTTGTTAAAATGTTCCAAGCCATAAGTTTTGAATTTCTTTTTTTATTGCAGTTTTTTAACATGTGGTAGCAGTTGTATGTGCTCAAGAAACATTTTCACAATTCAGATTCTAAATGTTGAAAAGGGGTAGTAAAAATACCTAATTTGTGTACAATTATTTTAACTCTTTATCTCGATGGGAGGTAAACCCACTATGCCAGGGCCCGTTTTTGGTAGTAAATCTAAAAATGACAAAATCGCCACTAAATTGGTGATTTAATCTAAACAAGTTAACTTATTTCAATAGTTCTTCATCTAATGAATGTAATCCCGATAAAAGAGAACTGTTTTCGGTAACTTACGACCACGAGCCGCTGGGAGCGGCTTGCCTGAGATACAGAGTTAAAAGAATGAAACAGTTTTTCTCTCACCCATAAATTTTTGCTTACACATTTTAACAGCTTGCCAACGATATCAACCATTAGATAGCTATTATTGTTCTTACAAATTGTCTCTTTGAGTAGGTGATGGGTTATTTATTAATTTTTATTGTTTTCCTTGTTTATACTGCTACAGTGTTTTCATATTGTGTCAAATTTTTCTTCTTTTCTCAAAATTTTGGTGGGAAATACTTGCTTGTGGCTTGAAACCCTTATTAAACTTTTCCCCACCACTTAAAATGACAGTTATTGTGTCACCGTGCTTCTGTTTACTCGAACAAATAAATGGCTGTATATTAGGCTGATTCTTTACCAAAAATAATGCTTATAATTTTTTCTGTTCGTCTTTCCTCCAGAGAGGGTCGAGTGATGGGTCAGCTGGAGGTGGCCAGGTCTATCGGGGACGGGCCATACAAAAACCACGGTGTCACCTGTGTGCCCGACATCAGGCGCTGTCAGCTTACAGAGAACGACAGGTAGCTCAGAGTTTGTCTGGGGGGGGGGGGTTGTGAATTTTTTGTGGGGGTTTTTTTGTTTTTGAATTTTGTGCTCTGCTACATATTTATTCAGGGTGACAGATCAAAGGTCATGTGGAACATGGAGAAGAGTCACAGATAATGATGGACAGAAAAGTGGGAAGACGTTGGATAATGTCAAGAGGATAAGCCGGGATGGGGAAATGTGGAAATGTTTGTTTGTGGTCTGTGCCCTGATCCAGGGTGAGAAAGGCATTGATGATAATGATAATCAGCATAATGACACATTTAGTGTTATTTCTATGACAGGGCACACAGCCCAGTGGGTGAGGTGAAGAATAAGAGGTAACTCTTTATAACCCCAGAATTATTTTCCACGTTTTGACCAAATTTTTTCCAAGATCTCGGGGAAACATGTAATGGGAGAAACGTGGAAATTATTCATAAAATGCCTAAAACTGTGTGAAAGTGACACATAAAATCACCTATATTTTTTTTTTGGAGTCCATTTGGATGTGACCTAAGCCTGATGTCCATCAGTATCGTTGCTCAGAAAAACGTTGTCTCAAATGATTTCAGAATCTTGTATTTTGCCCTCTTTTGTTGCAGTAATATTGTCTGTTTTCTTCATCCTTTTTTCAGGTTCCTCATGATTGCATGCGACGGACTGTGGAAAATCTACACAGCTGAAGAAAGCATTCAAACTGCCCTGAATGTCTTAGAGGTGAGAGCAGAAAGTAATAATAATAATAATAATTGCATTTATATAGCGCATATCCATGCCCAAGAGCATGCTGTATGCGCTTTACAACTATTATTACCCCAGCAGATCCTTTGAGAACACTCAGAAACATTCTCAGCTTCCGCGGAAGCATACAGTGGAGTATTGTCGTTTGGTGGTCAGGATATGTTTTGAGTCAGTTGGTGAAATTGTCGTCTAATTGTCACTGTTGTTTTGAGCGCTGGTAAATATAATGCTGATATTTAGATTTGATTCCCTGGCCAGGCCTTGCTAATAACTTGTTAATAAATCACCACTACTCATTCATTAGCATTCTTCAACAAGTTTTCTCTTTATTAGCGAAATTTCAAATAGGGAGTCTCGTTTTTCATCCAGTATAATGTTGTTTTTTTTACTAAATAAAGAGAAAAAACGGTAAATAAGAATTGTTCGCTAAGTTGCCTGTTCTTGTCAATCCAGTAGTCATTATAAAAGGACACAAAAAGGGGCAAGCTTTTCCCTTCCAGAGTAGGCTTGGTTGGCAATTCCAGAAGCCACAAATCATCTTAATCTTTATTTCTTCTATTCCTCTCTAAGAAACATTCTCCCCAGCAGAAACATTGGTCATTGTCTGACGTTGGCGGGCAAACTATTATTATTATTATTATTATCATTATTATTACTACTCTTATTATTATTATTATTATTATTATTATAATTATTATGATTATAATTCTTTTAATTCTTTTATTATTATAATGATCTTCTTCTTCTTCTTCTTTGTCTTCTTCTTCTTCTTCTTCTTCTTCTTACTCTTCTTCTGCGTCGTCGTCTTCTTCTTCTTCTTCTTTTTCTTACTCTTCTTCTCCGTTTTCTTCTTCGTCTTCTTCTTCGTCTTCTTCTTCTTCTTTTTCTTCTTCTTCTTCTTCTCCTTTTTCTTCTTCTTCTTCTTCTTCTTCTTCTTCTTCTTCTTCTTCTTCTTCTTCTTCACGTCACTGTTCAAAATGGCGATTGCTGGAGTCTTACACTAAGTGTTCAATTTGGACAAATGAATTTATCGCTGAGTTTTAGAAATAAACCTTTTGCTGATGTCATGTGACCGCCAGGATAAGAAGACAGAGGGTACAGAGCGGAAGTCGGCGGAGGACGTGAGGTACGACCTTGCCTGCAGTCGTCTGGCCAGCTCTGCGGTGCTGCGACTCAGCGGTGACAACGTGACCGTCATGTTGGTCTCTGTCAACCAGCTTGGCGAGGACAGCTGAGATTTCTCCAGACGGTGCTTCTATCTATCGTCAGTCAGCTGTTATAAATGTACTAAGCCCAGAATTTTGAACTTTAAAAATAAAATGCAGTTTTTTAAATCTGTTGTATCTGTTGCATTTTTTTGCTGAGAAACATTTTGTGGAAATTCAAATTTTAAATGTGGAAGAAAAAGAAAAGAAAATGCGTAATGTTACTGTTAAAAGAATGAAACAGGTTTTTTCTCTCTCTCTCTCCTGCAAAGTCTTGCTTTCTGGGATCTGTACATTGAACACTTTGCGGTCACTTGGCACACTAATGCGCCGGTGAAAATTATCCGTTCTGGTCACCTGACGTGGCGCAGTTCTGCACCAGGCCCGAGAAGTCTGCTGCCGTCGCTCTCCTGGCTGGGTGACCAGATGGGGTATTTTGTACTGCTGGCTGTGACTGCAAAGTGTTAAAACAGCTTTCTGGCGCAAAGGTTGTGTGTTGACGGTGGTGTGCTCCAAGCGTGTAGCTTAGAGAAACTGTTTGACTCATTTTTTGCTTTAAAAGCAGGGGTCAATCTGCAGACCCTCCATAAACTTCAGAAGTCAGCATGCACTATAATGGTATTATGGGGGGGGGGGGAGGATTCTGTGTCTTTATAATGGAGAAGTTTTATTTTGTCTATTGAAAAATATCCTATAGACCAGTTGTTGCATGGATAGAGCACATAACCATGGATATGACGCTGTGAGAAAATGTTGTGCTCTGAAATACATAATGTAGATTCAAGGATTTAAACATTTGTCACATTCATTACTTTCTGTAAGGATAAGAATTGTGTTTTAAAAATTATTTTACCATAATGTAAAAATTATAAGATATATCTGTTTGAGCCGTTTTTTAGTTTTAGTTTTAGTTAGATTTTTAGGGCACTTGCAACACAGATAGGTCGTATGAGTGCTGAAGATTAGATGTGTAACCGGAGAGAAGCTTTTATATATACAGAAAAGAAGTTCTAGAGAGATAGGGCGGAAGATGTTTGATATGCAGTTGTTATTGATCCAGATGTTTGATATGTAAGAAAGAGCAAACCATACCAGAGTACCCGCCAACCAACCACGAGCTGTTTTGAAGTTTTCGTTCTGGAAAACTGCTACAGTAAAGAATGTTGGTAATGCAGAGCTACAAATGTGAGGGGTGTTGTTTTCTAGAAATCAATCGGATGGGTTTTGTTAGCTTGGTCTTTTTTCTGGGATGTCGTATCCCTCTCTATCCAGGTTATTTTCAGTCAATTCTAATTACTATAATTAGACATTCTTCCCAAACCTCGTAGAATATCTTACCACGGCAGTGTCGTGCGTTCCGCAAATGAGGTACTCTGCAATGCCACTCAAGGTGCTAAATGATTTTTTTTTCTTCTGAAAGCACAAAGAGATGAATTCCAGAATTGCCACCCTTTGTGGCAGCTATGTCATGTTGTTATATTCGTCCATTTCCAGCTGAAGATCTTGCTCACCTTTCAACAGTTTCTGCGGGCAAGCAGCCCGGAGAGAATGGTTCCTCACTCTATTTTTGTATTACACGTTGGCAGAAATTATGGGTGCCTGTTTTATGTCCTTGGGAATGATGGTGGAATATGGCTAATTGGATGCAATGCTCACAAACTCACTAATTGTTTTATTGCTGTAAAATCTGTTGTGGGTTTTTTTTGGCAGTTAGTGAGTTAATGAGTTTCCATTTTTTTTTCTTTTCTTTTGTTTTAAGCATTTTATTATATCCACTGTCGGCCCCGCTAGTATGGAATTGAAAGAGATATAGTGTGGGTGGTGAGAGAGAGAGAGAGAGATGTGTGTGTTTATGTGCGTCTATGTATTCATTAATTAATGTTCACCACCTATGTATGAGACTAGAATGAATTCCTTGAAGTCTAATCCAAGGTTTAGTGGGTAGTTAGAGGATGCCATTGGTAGGTCCTACTTCTTTATTTTTACTTCTGTTATTTCTGTCTGTTTGTTTGTCTTACTTTTTCCCAGCACTAAATGACCTTTATCGTGTCGATGTGCTTCTCTTCACTCAAACGAACAAATCAGGGTTCACCATTTCATCACATTATGTATTAAACGGAAATTTTCTGCAGAGAAAAAAAAAGGAAAACTTTTTTTTATTCTTTTAGCAAATTGTTCGTACATTTTGTACTGTTTCTTGCTTTTATTTTCAACATTTAGAATTTGAATTTTGACTAAATATTTCTGGAGCACATACAACTGATATCACATGTTAAGAAACTGCAATAAAACGTTTTCCCCCAAAATTTTGGGCCCAGTTTCATCTGAACGTCTGGGTGATGATATGCATCATTTGTAGGTGGCGAGTCGACACAATATTAGCTACACATATCCAAAGAAAGCATAATAACAGCATGGAAAAAGAAGTAGAAGGAGCAGACCCCCACCTTAACACCCTTCGAATATCAACGTTAAGGTGTGTGTACCGGTATGTATATATATATATATATACAGGGTAGCACACACATAGCGAAACAAGCACATGGCGAACATATTTTCCAGTCCCGACTTTTTTATTATACTAAATTATACAAGCATATTCTTTGTATTTCAAACATGTACAAAGCGAAATTTATTCATTTATACAAGATTGCCCCGTCCCGCACATTTAGCTGTGTATGTGCCAGCCTACGTATATTATACATACTGTATATTGACTGCTTAGTGTAAGACTGCCATACGCCATTTTGAAAGGGACGTACGGTGGAATCTTACACTGAGCGGTTGGTGAATATATACGGGAATTTCCACGTATTCAGAACGCACCGCATACAAAGGTGAGGGGGGTGGAGGGGGT